GCTGTTTGAAACGAAATCCAGCTCCAAGGCAAACCCCGAGATAAGGCTCTTTAGTAGAGAGGAGAAACATGCCGTGAGGGAAAGTGTTAGGTCCGCATGTGCGGAGGTCGCGTCACCTCTCTCGCACCGAATACGCGGTTAGGGCGCTATTCGTTACAGACTTGCAGTCACTGCAACCCTCCCCGACCACGCCGTTCTTGTATGAGCCAGCGACGACGGCTGTGGCTACGCAACGTAAATTATGACGTAGAGGCCGATAGCACCTCAAGATGAGATATGAAATCGAGAGGTAGCAATAAGTGCAGCTGTGTTCGAGAACTCGTCCAGGCACGCCCCTTTCCCATCTCAACAAGGAGCGCTTCTGACAGAGAGGTGGTCCTCTGCCGAGGCGTGATTAGCGGTTTCTTGTTTTCGTTTTCTTTTTGAGATCACTCCCCACTCCCAACGTCATTATTGAACACTTTCACACACCTATTTTATTCTGGGGCTTGCCTTTAAAAATGAAAGGCGAATGGTAATGACAACAGCATCCAAAGTTTAACGATTTTGCTAGAAGGTGCCGCTATTCTGAAGGCCGGATAATAAAATAAGGAAAGAAGTTGTTAAAGCGAAGTTTTTCGTTGCGAAATGCTGGCCAGCCGCCTGGATCAGTTCTTTTTCCGATTTTGAATTTTTGTTTCAACGAGTTGTGAATTTTGGTGGGAACAGCGATCACGAATCGCACATTGCAAAGCCATTGAATGGCCGAAGCCTTCTCAAATACAACTACAACTGTAGTACAATCCTTAGGAAGGCGTTATCACAAAATACGTGAGCACCCTCTGAAACTAAAGCCTAGGAGGGGAAGGAAGTCTCTCCTCGCCGCTTTGGATTTCAGTCCCGGTATCAACGAGAAGATATTCTAGATGCGGTTTCAAATGCACTGCCACCACAATCCGTCCCCGTATCTTGCGATAGCGCCATTAAGGCTGTGCTCTAAATGTCACCCACTTGGTGGCAACACTTACCACCTTTGGAAATGACTTTGGGCTATGAAAACACCACTGCAAAGGTTCCAAAACACCTTTCATATTTTCCATTCTGCTTGGAGAAACGAGGGCAGCAAAGAAGACACGTTCGCTCGGAACACCTTTTTATTCGTCTGAGGGATTTCAAATGCAACAGGAAAGAGCGCGACAAAATGGATGATTGTTCTACTGCTGAATCTTCTTTGCGCCGGAAGCTTTGGAAAGAGGCATGCTGTGGACAAATAGGCTGAAATATGACTCTGGCGAACTGCAAAGCCGATTTGGAAATGAGATTTTTCGCTGCACGAGCGACAGCAGTGGCGCGGAAGCGATGAGGTGCTGAGGGATGCACACAAACTTAGCAATACATTTTTCTCGGAATTATTTTGCGCAGATAGATGTGACTTTATACTGAGTAGCTTTTTGAATATGGCTGACTTAATGGTAGCGGTCACGATAATTCGGTGGTAATCGAATAAGCAAGTAGAGATGCTATATCATGCCTAAAGGAGACGCGTCGAAAGCCCAAGAAGTGAGCTTTCACTTTTGCATATCCATTTTGTAAGAAGACAACGAAACAACTATTCTCTCTGGGCAATTAATATAAGATTGGCAGCAAATTTGGGACGTTAGCCACTAACAAGGATGATAAACGAGATCAAAAACGTCGTAGCGAGCTCACAAGGGAGGTCTTTCAGGGCAAGGTGCGCTTTTTGGAAACGGTTTAGTACATGTTGTAGGGACGCATGTATGGACCACAAAACCATGTTTCGTTTTCGCTGAACGGTTTTAGTAGTACCAAAAAAGTGGTGAATAATACTCTTGATGGTTCAATCCCCGCGGCGACTAAATTTTGCAATCAAGGTTGGCGGCCACTTGTTGGCTTCAAAATGGTCCTGACGATGAATTTGACATCTGATTTTGATATTTAGCGCGATTTGGCACCAAACCGTAGGCGCCAACCCAAATGCAAAATTTAGTCGCCACGGGGGATCGAACCCTTAACAGTACCTTATGCTTCTTTTTTGGTACTGCTTGTTGAGGCCGTTCTAGCGAAAATAACATCAGTGTTCTCTGCGCGTCTCTACATGGCGTCCGTTCATTATGTTTCCCAATATGCCACAACCCGGTGTGATATTGTCGTGTAATGCGATTTTGCTTCGTAAAGTATCTCTGTCAGCCTTGTTGTCGAATTGCCGTTGGTTTATCTATGAGCGGTCCATTAATATCTGGATTTACATACGGGGTTTGGAGAGGTGCTGACTGAATGGCAGTGGTATGCACATTGCTCGCCTAATCTAGCATGCGTAGGACTAAAATCGCATTGAAATGCCATTGCGGATACCAAATTGATGCGGTATTTATGGCGCATCCCAGGAAGGGGCGATCAACTCCGAATACTTCAACGTTTCTCTTTAAGATTCGAGCAAGGTAAATGGTCGCTTGGAGCTCTGGCGAAAAAGAAAACGTGTCCAAAATTTAACACTGTTGTGGAACTCATCGAATATTATCAGGTGAAGTTGTTTTTAATTGAACTATTGGATATTTCTGAAAGTTAAATGTGGCAGTTGAGAGTTGTCGACGGAGCACATATGAAAAAAGTCTGCGCGATTAGGGACCACAAAAGAGGTTTTTCCAAGTGTGGAGCACTTTCTCAAAACTGCTCACGTGGACTATAAAACTGAGGTTCATTTTCGCTGAGCGGCCTCCTCGAGGCTGAAAAGAATAGGAAATTTGCTTGGAGTAGGTAATTTCACAGCATTGGAGTGGTGCATGGATTTATGGTTTACGTATGAGTTAATGCAGGAGAACCAGTGAAAAAGCGCTCCAGCTCAGGGTCAACCGTCACGTTGGACCAATTTCGAAATTTTACCACCCCCCTTCCCCCTTTTAGAGAGCCTCGATATAACCCCCTCCCCCTCCTCCATCGCCATCATGGAGGGACGATTTCTATAGTGTTTGATTCTGAGACCAGTCGCCACAGCCTAACTCCGCCCACTTTTTCCCTCCAAATTGCTGTCGAGCGGGGGTATATATCGAATGTGAAACGACAAAATTTTCGCACTCAAAATCCCAGCCAACAACCCTAATCCGCTCTCCGTTCCATGAAAAATCATCCCTTCCCTACTGTAACATTAACGCTACCTCGCGAAATACGACCCCCTTTTTCCACCCCCCCCCTCGTTGGACCTAGTCCAACGGACGGTTGACCGCTCAGCTTTTGTCATTTCATCATAACCAGTGCTAGATAAGTCGAGCCTCAATTAATGCCGAGAGGATTGAAGATAACAATCAAAACCTGACTTCTAGATGTGATTTTTATGAGCTGCCCTTTATGGCCCATTTAGGCACTTTGCCAGTACACCTATCTTTTCTTGACGCTCGTGGTAGGCTTAAAAAGCCTGAAGGGGCAAGCTCAAATCCCACCTGCACCCCCAAGCTTCCTCGATAGGGAACCTTCAGAAATAGCATTTCCTCTTAAGAATTATCAACTACGAATTCCCTTTTTCAGAGACACGATCTTCCGGGACATTTGAAGATGACAAAAGCGATTCACAGGCCAAAGTGCGCTCATCAACACGCTGGTCATATGCATCATTCGACTGCAAAAAGTATACATTTACTTAAAAGCCAGCAATTTTGAACGTTACGGGCAAAAAATTAGACATCAAAATAGACGCCGCAAAAAATTAGTAAGATAGATAGATGGGCAAACAGGCAGACAGACAGACACACAGTTAACATACCCTGCTTTTCGAAGAACGAGAAAAGCGTCGGGTGCAGACCATACCCCACAAAAGACGACGGCCTCCAAGTAAATCTGGTTACTAGTAGTTACCACAATAATAGCTGATAAATGATAGTTGTAATTAGTGACAACTGATAGAATGCAACTGCAACACGCCAATCATTTCATTGGCAGAAAAAATTAATATTTTGTGGAGGCCCATTTGCGCGTTGTCGTTCGGTGCGTGTGTGGTCTGCGCACCCGACGATCTTCTCGATTTTTGAAAGGGATTTATACGCTAAAATGCTAAAATGCTGCTTATATGCAGCAGGGTTTACATATGCATATGGATTGTATGAGTGCATTCTATCACGAGGAGCCGTTGATGTTTATTAAGGACCTAGTTGGCTCGGGCAACTTCTGTAAAGTATACAAAGGATTGTACGAACGAGAAGAAAACGACGTGATTCAGGTGGCAATCAAGGTAGGAGCGCACATTTTGCCAGTCCTCCCCTTCATTTTGATTTTTGAACACTTCAGATCTGTCACGGGGCATCAATCGATACAATGACAGAGGAAGCGAAAAAGGCCAGAGAATCCATGATGCACGAGGCCCATCTGATGAGTTACTACGTTCATAAGCACGTTATTCAAGTAAGTTCAAGAATCCGGTCGTCAGTAAGCTTCACGTTCGGAAATAGATCGGTAAGAAAACGTTGGTGGTGTGCTCACGACCCGCAGACAAAAGTCCCGTCTCGTAAAAAGTCTGAACAGAGGTCTCTTCGTTCAAGTCGGTTGCGTGGTCAGACATAACCGGTATATTTCACAGTTGCGTCTGGGTAACGGGGTTGAAAAACCAAACTATGGTTGCAAATCGCCAAACACTAACGATGGAGCCGACAAAATCGCTGGAAGCACCCTTAGTAAAACTATTCTCTAACCGATCTTGTCGGCATATGTGCAAGCATACGGTAAAGAAAAGCTGAGCACGATTGGCATGCTTCATTATCGAGAGGAAGAGCATGGGCCGGAGCACAGACACATTTGGCATTGATGTGATTAGGCGTCCAACCCCAGTGAGCAACTTAAGCGCCATTGGATCAGACAGGCTATTAGAAGGACCTGCCGGGCTTTGAGGCAGTACCACTTTACCAAAAATTTGGCTGTCATCGCGAAATAGGTAAGAAGCCCACTGCTGTTGGGGGTGCTGTTATGACATATTTTTAGCGGGAGGGCTTTTAAAATGTCCTCATAAATCGTAACAGTGAAATGGATTGAGCATACAGGGTCAACTTTCCGTTGTCCAATTCACATAAAATAGGTTGAATTTGGTGGAACTATTTTCGAAAGAGATGGGAGGAGGAAATTGATTGGGTAGGTGGGAAAGTTTTTCTTGTGGAATTCGAGTTGCGTTGGCTCGGAGTTTGCCGTTGCAAAGTCTATGAAACTCTCCACGCCCCCTCCTCCCCCCTTCGTTTCTATTTTGGCGCTTCCCGGACGGGAGAGAGGGAATAGAGGTGTGCTACGGACCGGGTCAAAGGAAACTTTCACGACTGAATGGGTGCACGTATTTTTTTGACTGAAACTTAAGCTACTTGTGATGGTTGATCTGTGCTCATGAGAGAAAGCAGAAAAACTGCCGAAATTTCAAAGCCACAAGCTTATCCATGGGGGAGGTAGCCCAACCTCAGCCGTGTTGGTTGGTTCTCTAAGTTAGGATGGAAGAGTAGGTATACTTGACACTGGCCATAGGCCACGGTTGATCCTGAGGACATCGAGGAGGCTTTTGACGTCAGCCTTCTTACTTTTACCCTTCTTTCGCAAAAATAGATCCACCACAGAAAAAAAAGTAAGCCGTAATTTTTGTCGAATGAAGCGTGTTTCTCAGCTGTATGGCGTCGCCTGTGACCATTATCCAGTGATGATAGTGATGGAGTTCTGTCCTGGTGGCAATTTGCAAGATCACCTTCAGAAGTATACCTCGCAAATAGAAGTTGGCGAATTAATTTGTTATGCATCAGAGGTGAGTTGGAGATTTCAAGCTGAGAATGGGCCGACGTGCATGCAGTAAGCGATAATTTAGACATCACGAGGAATGCGGTACCTTCACTCGAAATCGTGTGTTCACCGGGATTTAGCCGCCAGAAATTGCCTCATCTCAGAGACTGGTCAAATCAAAGTGAGTTTTCTGGGGCAGCAACTCAAAGTCATGTATTGCACTAGCTTGCTCTACTATCAGGAATAAAAGGTGAGTTGCTCATAGTAGCAGTGAAGAAAAAACTAAGGGAAACGGTTTGAAGGCAAGCCCCGATATAAAAATGGTGTGTAAGAGCGTTCGATCATGAAGTTGAGGGCTGGGGAGCAGGGTTAACCGTCCGTTCGCACTATTCAAACGAGGGAGTCGCATTTGTGATTTCGAAGGGGGAGGGTCGCATTTTGGGTTGAGCAAGGTTATCATAGTGGGAACGGAGCTTGACCGGAGGTCCTTCAGGGGAGTTGTGTTTGGACGTTTCGAGACGAATTGGCGGATGGGGTTGTGTCCACTGGTCTCACGCCTCAGAATCAAATACTATAAAAACATAGAAACAAGTTCTTTAATGGTGAGGGCAGTGCTCGGAAAAGGAGGAAGGAGAATCGTATTGAGAAAGCTTTTAAAACCTGATGGTGGTGGTGGGAGGTCGCATCGAGAGCCTTCTAATGGGGAGGGGGAGGGGGTTGCCAAATTTTCAAAAAAGTGGGTAAGTGACGGTTGACTGGAGGTTATCATAAGTCCGGAACGCCGAGTTTATGGACACCTCTTTAGGGGGAGTTGTGTTTGGACGATTTTTAGACGAATTGGCGGAGCTATGGGATCTGTTGATCTCAACACGGAGGTCGTTCAGGGTGTGCCACGCTTTTTTCGAAATGGTTTCTTGCATGACATTGGGGCACATATGGGGACCACAGAAGCATGGTTCATTTTCCCTGAACGGCCCTCTGAATACTCCATTAGTAATAAAAGGCACCAATGGACCGCCTGGTCCAGCTTAAGATGCCCAAGATATACAGGGTGGGCAAAAATTACGGTAACAAAATAAAGTGTTCATGGAAAAGCAATGCGGCCTGGAAGACACACGTGGCCACCAGCAATGTATTCATAGGAACTTATCAAAACAGAATACATCATTTTTTGGACTGGCCGCTCTCCTGTGTTTATATCTGTGTTTATTTCTGCGTGAATTCATTTCGGAAACGCATCGGGCCTGTTGTGTAGGTAGGTGACATCGAGCTTTCCCTGGGATCTTCTTTAATTCATCGATTGTTTTAGTGATACTTGTAGCAGTCCATCGTCTTCAGTAGACTCCACTGAATATAACCCACTTGCTTTGAAACAGGAGAATAAGGTTGGCACCCGTTTAATGTCATGAATTTGGAAAGTTCTGTAAAACAATTATTGCACAGTATTTGCTTTTTGTACACGCGATCTATCTTGCTGGTGTGTCCAATGATTTCTCTCCGCGGTCTGTTCAGCCTGATGCATTTATTCGGTTCAAAGGGAATAGAGGTGTTTTGATAGTGCTCTTGTTACCGTAATTCTTGCCCACCCTGTAGTCATCCAGCTAGGGCTAAAGACTCTTGAATATAACATAATTTTATGTGGTCCTTTGTTGGCTCCTGGTCTGGTTGATTCTTCGAAGATGTTTCGAATTATGATGGTAGAACAAATCTTCATACAAAACTTACGTTTCAGATCTCGGATTTTGGACTATCAAAAATCGCTGAAGAATTGGGAGGAAAAGGTGGAGAAAGTGAAGGCGAACCACCATTGGAGCAAATTCCGTTACGGTACGCCAACTTTCAAACTGGTCAACCAAGAGGCTGCGACAGGTCGCTGCTGGGCCATCAGCCCAATCCTCGGACACTCGAGCGTCATGAGGGTGCGCGTCAGGACATGGTGGCGTACCAGCAGCAACATTTTACGTAGTTAGCGCAAAGCGTGGCCATAAACTAACGAGACAAAGCACTGAGAAGGAAAGCACACTACTTTTAGATCTCGCTGAGAATAGTCAAGCATACCATCCTTTGAATTGGGCCCAACCAGCTCTGGAAGGGTATATCTTTTGACCTGAGCGTTGGTTTTGTCACCTTAAAGGCAAGAATCAGGATTAAATTGATGGGTGATTCCACTCAAATGTGAAAGTAGGGGTGGAGGTGGACCGCCAGTGGAGAAAAAAGGAAAGAAAATCCTGAAATACACAGGAAATACGAGCATTTTGCTCCATGCTGTGGAGAAGTTCAAAAGACAGGCAGGGAGATGAGAGATAATGTGAGCGCGGAGAGTGGTAGAGAAGTCCGAGAAGAGAGAGCATAGCAGATCAACGCAGCGACGCAGACAAGATATCGAACGGTGGGCGGACCATGTTAAGTTTGGTGGAGTCTGTTAGAAGTCCATGGCGCCTAGGGTCCTAGTGACGCGTTTCGATGTAGAAAGGTGGCGCTACCTTTGCACTTGCGTACCCAGCACTTCTAGCCATGGTAAGGGCTTCTTAGGTGGGTCTGAGCCCGAACTTTGCCTTTAAGTCAATGTATGAATTGTTATACCTTCATGTAAACTATTCACGATTGATAACAACTGTGCGAAATAATGCAAACCCCGTACCATCCCCAGTTTCCCAAAAACTATAGTCTCTCTGTTTAGATGGATGGCTCCGGAGTGCCTGAGACGACCACAGCTATGGTCATTGAAAAGCGATATTTGGAGCTATGGGGTGGTAGGTTTTTGCATGAGAGCGCTCGCACTGACAAGATTACCATCATTTTTACAGCTTCTCTACGAAATATTCAATGAAGGTCAGAAGCCGTGGCCGAATGATCCACCAAAAAAGATCGCAACTCTCATAAGGTTCAAAGGCTGTAATTTGAAGAGCGTCCTTTGATAGGATATTCATTGAAAAAATCTTTAGGAAAGGAAAAATGCTAGAATTTCCGGCTAAAACTCCACAAGCTATCAAGGATATGGTGGCGAAGATTTGGTGAGTGATAATGACTTGATTTTATGAAGACAAAAATTGAGTTGCTGAGCAATTTCAAAGAAGAAATCATAATGTAATAGTTTCAAAATCAAATCCTTTATCATAAAAGTCCAACATTTTCCGATCATGGGTTGAAGGGCAGTGGATACGGTGATATGGTCACTGTGACGATTTGTGTGCCGATATTGGTGTTGACACGCAGATTACACGACGGCTTGTGTGCCGATATATTCCTTGGAGCACGAGCCATCTCTTCCTGTGACCCCCCCCATTCCCTTTCACGCCCTGTTCCCGAGCTCCGCGCACCGAGCAGAACATAGGGAGATCTTTACAAAAATTAGAAATGTGCAGAATTCCATAGAAATCGAATGACTATTTGAGCAACGTTCCATCGGCAGCAGCTTTTGGTACCCCCGTCCATCCCCTATTTCACCCAACCACCACGGAGCCCCGCCCACCGTCATGACCGTACTATACACAGACTTCTTTATGATACTTTTCACTCTGAGATCCGAGCAGTTTCTGAGCGCGTTTTTCCTCTGTTTCATCAAATCAAGCAAGTTCCAGCAGAGGGAGGAAGGGGGTACATATTTCCTAACATTTTCTAGAGGTATATATACGCAGGCTGAAACGGCAAATTTTCTCCCGCGCGCTCTCCCTTCTTTACATGTAAATTTGTCATATCGACAAGTACGTCCCCTCCTCCACCACGAACTCAACAAGCTACGACGCCCCTCCCCCCCCCCCCTTTGGTACTTGTCCCTACGTAGGGTTGACCTCTGGTTCTTAAGGTTTTTCAATCTGGAGCAGTTGCATTACCAAGGCACCTTCTGCGTTCGCTCACAACTCGTTTATTCCAGAAACATTCAAAAGTCAAACATTTCAGGTCACTGAATCCTGACCAACGACCGACAATGGATGAGATTGCTAAGAAAATCACTGTCCTTCGGCGAGAAATCAAGGTCTGCCGTTATGTTCTGACACAAATTTATAAGTAATACACACCTCGCCTTTCGGTATTCCATTCTCACTGAGGTATCATTCTCAAGCCTCTGTTTCAGTTGACGGATCCGTCCAAGGCAATAATCAAACAGACGGTCTCGGTAAGCAAGTCGAGGAGTGAAACCAATGCGGTACGTTGCACCCCCTTCTCCATGAAACTAGCCGATACCAGAAAACATTATTCAAGGTATGGGTGAGCGGAGCACAGGTCAGGAAGAGCGAAGCCACAGTTGGCAGCAGTAGCGTTCGCCGAACAGTCGGGTAAGCAGGGTCAACCCTATGTTGCTACAAGTAGCAACGGGGGGGGTCGTATTTTGATGAGTTTGTAGAGGGGGGTCGTACTTGCTTCGGTTGTAAGAAGTTGCATGTGATGAGTGGGGAGCGGCGCGGGAGAAAATTTGCCGTTTCAGCGCGCGTATATATCCCCCTAGAAAACGGAGCAGTTGAAATATGGGTAAAATACATGGAAATTGTAGGGAAATGTAGGGAATTCTTGCGGTTTTATGGTAAGTATATACCCCCGCTCGACGGTAATTTTTTGGGGTAAAAATTGTTTTGAAAGAGGGGGTCGTATGAAACATTTCATGAGGGAGGGGGGTCGTAAAAACTTTTTGAAAAGTAGCAACGATAGGACCGACCCTGGTGGGTAGGTAGAGCCCGAGCAGGAGATCAAAGGTGTCGGCCAAGCGCGTGCGCGCTTGGCCGACCCCCTTGATCTCCTGTCGGCTCTACCTACCCCTGCTGCTGTCGCCTTTTGCAACAAATGTTGAGGCGCGCTCTGTGTTGGCCGCATTCTCCCGAAGTGAGTTGAACCGTAAGCCAATGGTCAACTTACGAAGCCACCGACCTCAAGGCGTGATGAAATTTGTGGTCAGGCGCCGACCGATAAAAGGCGCAGTGGCACATCGCGATTCGTCGCGAACTGAGAGTCTAACACGTGGGCCTCAAAGAGCAGTATGAATCAAATCAATAGACGTCTTTTCCGTTTCCGCTATTCGCTCCTGTCGTCAACTGTGATCATCGCCGAATGCCAAATAACAGTCTCTGGCAGAACTGAATGTGTTCTCCTAGCGGTTGCTTGACGTTTTTTTTTCAGGATGACGATGATGAATCGTTGAGAAGTAAAGCGACCAAATCGGTGAGCAGAGATTAGGCATATGCAAAGGTATCACGAAAAAGATTGAAAGCACGCTAACGTCGGATCTTACTCTTCTTCTTTTCGAATTAATCACTTCAATCGTGCTGTAATAAATAAATATTTCAAAAATATAAAATTGTTGACATCCATTCGGAAATTTCATGCCAATATAGGGCGCGACCCCTCTACCCACATGAGTATCAAATCACGCATATTGCATCACATGGCCTACTGGCCGCACGCCAATATCCACTTGGTAACAAGTTGTGGCACAAATCGCAATGCTATCGCCACATTATCTGGCGGACCCTGTAAGCTCCTTCCCACCCGGTTTTCAGAGCCAATGAAGGAGATCGCATGAGGGCGTATAAAGTTTCTCAGACCATGAAGGAGATCGCATGAGTGCGTAAAGCAGGCAATCACTGTCTCATCTTTTTTACAAGGGAATCGTGCATGGGAACAGCGTGATCGTATAATCGATCCTCTATAAATCGTTAGCTTGAAGACGCAGTTGACGATGAAACCCATTAAAATCAATGTATAAGGTGGTCAGTGGTGGAGGGACGAAGAAAAAATCATAAGCCTAGAATCCGAGAAATGAGGCTTTTTGCCCGTTAGTTTCCGCATTGATGCAACTTTCATCGGTGCTGCCCTCTTCAACACCAGCACTCTCTGCTAAACAGCTAGAGTCAGACGAGGAGAGGGTGAGCGTGCCGCGGCGCTGGTATGGCCCTGAGGGCATACTCTCTCGCTGCAAAGAGCGCGTCGCCCCACGCCTTCGAGGGGTTCGCCTGGCTTTTAACTAAGTATAATTCCCCTTTCTTAATCTCCGACCTTGTCGTGAAGTCCTTCTTCACGACGAGAACGAAAAGAACAATTGTAGTTACCGCATGAAGGTTTTTATCGTGTAACTATCGTCACAATAAAGCTAATTTTGAGGGTTCTCCTAACCTTAAACATGGTTTAAAATGACGCATACTCAACGAGAACTCCTTTTGCCGTCAGCAGTGCTTTTGAATGCCACAAATTCATTTAGTTTGTGATCCCCATTTATTTTTACTCTTCTTGCGGGACGGGCCCTACGAAGACGATAGTTTGTTGTTGCTTTAACAGTGCACAATAGACTTCCGAGTGATTCAAAAGTGAATGGCAAAGTTCAAAAATCGAAAACGATGGAAGTAGATGGTAGAGGTGGTGCGGGACGCGGAGAACGGGAAAATCCTGCCAGGCAGTTAGCAATAAGGGCGCGCCTCTCGCCTGCGGAAAAGCCACGTTCTGTTCTCTCGGTGGCACAGAATTTGCCCATAGTAAGCACATTTGCCCTCCTTCAACAGAATTTTTGTTCGAATTCATGATTTGAGTGATATTCACTTATGGAACTGACTTGCCTCATTAGGTTAGTAGCACCTGAACTGTGGTTGGTTGAATGCCGGGAGGCGTCGCCCTTGCTTTTTGGCAGACTGGACTTACTGACCAGTTCATCAA